AACTCTTTTTGTCTTTTTGTTTCTGACTTCAAATGACTCACAACAGTGAATTTCATATTTCTCATCTAACAAACAAGTTTCCCAACGGTCTTTTCCAACAAACTCAGCGTACATTTCAAATAAAATAAAAAAATATTTTTTTTTAAAATTTACTCAGAAAAATTTTTCTTTGTATATACACCATTCTGAACATCTAAAAGATTTTTGACATTTGCCAAGAATGTTCGTTTAGACGCTGTCATATAACCATACTCTTGACAATACTGTTTATACGAATCGTACAATGACCTTTCATCTAAACACTCAAAGTTAGTCTCATCTATAAACAGTTCATATACACTCTTGTTTGCTTCTAACAATGTTTGTCTCTCTTCGGTATGTGGAATTTGTCTTGGATTGAACTTTGAAATATCTAATGTCATGAAATATGAGAACAAGTGGTTGTAAAAGTTAGGTGTCAAAGTTTCTGCTAAGTCGTCAAAATATTCTGTATCTTGCATATGAGCTTCTGACGTTCTGACAACTACATATCTTCTGTCAGAACTTTCTAACTTCATCGGAACGGCGTTGTTTGAAACCATGATGAAATTTGCAACATTTTCACAAACTCTTTGGTCTCTATACTTTCTTTCAACAACTCCAACTTTGTCTGTTATAAGACTCTTCAAAGCATCTGAGTTTAAAACCTTTGTTGTATCTATACTTTGAAGTTCGTTACATACTATAAGTTTCATATTCTCTATTGAAGAGTTAAATTTACCGCAGATGTTTTCTAAGTTTGTCATATTCGGGTTCGAATAGCCTTCTAACAGTTTGCATAAGATATCTGTAAAGAAAGTGTTCTTACCTGTTCCTTGTTTTCCAATTATGATGAGAGCAGTTTCATTTTTAGCACTTGGATGTTGTAAGATGTTTGCAAACCAACATAAGAATGTATACTCATAGACTCTTTCGTTTCCATTTGCATATAATTTCTTTGACATGGTCTAACCAAGCTTCTATAACATTTTCTTTCCATTCTACTTGTTCGTATTTATATCCAGTGAAGATAGAATAGAAGTTTGGAGAAGGTGTATAGAACTTTATACCACGAACTGAAAAAATCTTCTAACTTTGACAATAAGATATCCCAAGCATCTAACATCTTCATACCAACTTGTACGACTTTTATTTTCTTAAGTTTCTGTTTACATTCTTGTTCTGAAACTATTGTCGCTCTTGGTTTGTTAAAGACTACATCCCATTCTTTCATGACATAACATTCTGGGGCAGAGTCAACATAAATGACTAAACGTTTCAAATTCTCGACTGCTTTGTTATAGTCTCTAAATGGACACATATTTCTGAACGCTTGGAAGTCATAAAAATCTGAAACGTCTATTCTGTACATTTTTTTATAAAAATAAAAAAAAAATATTTTTTTTATTCTTGAGCTATTTGTTGTTCTTGACTTTGTTGTTGCATTTGTTCCATTTGTTGCATTTGTTGTTCTTGAGCTATTTGTTGTTGAAGTTGTTCTTGTAGTACAATACTTTCACCAGTTGCATCTTCCAATTCGAAACTTTCTGCCGTCATTGACAAATACATAGGAAAAAAAGTTTTACAGGAACAAAGTTTGCGTCAACTAAGGTTAAGTTTATGTTTGCTAAAGTGTTTGAGTTTACTAAAGCTGAAAACTCTGCATTCGAATGAACAATAGGCAAACCAGCAGAGAAAGTGTTGTTTATACGCATGAGTATCTTTTGGTCATAGTAGTTTCTGTCGACATTCGAATAGCACTTTGAACCTAAGTTTGAAACAATATATAAAATAGGTGTACTTAAAGTCAATGGAACAGACATTCCTTGTATGACACCTTTTCCTGTTATAGGAAACTGTTGGTAGTAAAAACCAGATATAAGTTTTGTATTATAGCTCATATCGTTTATACTAAACTCAGTCGGACATCCAAACATAATGAAACCTGCTCTAGTTGCAGCACATGTTACATCCGTCCTTAAAGTATTAAATAAGTCAACAAAACCTGTTGGTGGTATATCTGAGTAAGTATCTTCAAAGGAGTATTTTTTACCATTCACAACAACAAAGTCTTGGTGTCAAAAGAGCAAAACAGGCTTTAGTCGTCATCGTGTTTAAGGTCAGTTTACAATATCGTCCTTGAGGACTTTGTAAGTTTGTTGTTATAGAATTATATGACTCAGGGTTTTTAGTCGTAATAGTATAAACCACTATGTCTTCTGCCATTTACTTAGCAAGTAAATTTTAATGAAATGTTGTGGTCGTCAAATATTTTTATGACGTCTGGGAAACTATATTTTAAGTTCAACGTTTCACCTCCTTTCATAACGTATATCTTGTCAATGACATTATATGAAACACCACAGCAAGCAATGTCGGGTTCTATTTCTTTGATGTTTATATCGTCTGCCTCTGTCAAAAGTTTCAATAGTTCTTTCAAAATTTCATGAGGTGCGATGACATATGAGTTCACTTTTACAGGGTTGTGTTCGACCAAGTTTAACATTAGACCTAAAGCCTGACAAATCTTCTCCTGAGTTTTAAGTTTGTCTTTAAGTTGTTGGTAGTCGTTTCGAATATCTGCAACAGAACTTAAGTCTCTGCTAACTTCAGGTATGTTGGTTGTTCTTTTACAGGAACTATTGTTATACCATCTTCGTCTTCGTATGGTTTCCCCACTTCAACATCTCTGTCTTTGACATTGACAACAACACTTTGACTGTTTGTTTGAGTTGGTGAATTTAACTTCACATCTGCCATCGCCATTAAACCTTTTGAAACACTTACGCTTCTATTTTTCGGAAATGACATTTTACTTAGAATAAAAAGATGGACGTATTTGAGTATCTCTTCGAATTGAAGCAAAACAAAGTTTACACACACAAACAATACAAGTTCATTGACAGAGTAGTTCTTTACACAAACAATGGAAAATGTTATAGAATAGCAGTCTTTGCTGAACCAAAATATTTTCATAAAGCAAAGAAAGTTGGTATAACCGAGATGGTGAAAGTTCTTGAAGCAGACAAAAATATAACAACAAAACTGACCGATATTTCTAAAGGTAAGTTTATAATACAATACTATGTCAAAACTGGCGTACTGTCAATATTTGACGGAGAGAAGTCAGTTCAAGAACAACTTACTGACCTGCTGCCAAAATCTGCTCGATGGAAGCTGTCGTTATACCAATCTGAGGAGCCCCAGCAGGTTTCATCGAACGAATTTTCAAAAGAGCATCTTCCGTGAAAAGTGCTATTGGTTTTGTAAACTTCTTTGCTTTCAATTCATCTGGACCGTCTCTGTCACCAGTATATTGTATTTGAACTGTACCAACAGTTGAAATACCACCCATAAAGTCTTCTGAGTCAGCAAATGGAATGCCAAGCCAAAAGTTTGAACGGTCTCCATTTGTATATTGAGTGTTTTGACGCTCCTGCATGAGTCCATACTTTCACATATGGCATAATAGAACTTTGCATTTCAGGGTTAATGGTTGTTGTGAAGTTGTTGTTAAAGTTCATAGCATCTAATGTCAAGTTGTATGACCTCATATCCTCAACTGTAGAATATTCTTCTCTTGGATAGTATTTGCCATCTATGTTTATATGATATTTAATACCGGGGTTGTAGAAACAAGAATAGTCATTTATAGTTCGTCTGAACAGTACAAACATAGTATCTGCATGTTTCATTGCAGTTGTTAAAGCAATATCTGTTCTTGCACCTGGGTCAGCACTTTGGTTTCCAACTTCACCTGCAAAGTCTTTGACAGATATTTGGTGTATAGGGAACATAAGTGGAACTGCAATATATTTGGCAGCTAAAGCATTTGAAATATCTGGGTCCAACATATAGACTGCAAGTCTGCTTTCTATTCTCTTGCATTCAAATTTTTCGCATGTGAACTTAACTGGGTCCCAAGCAGTTCCAGCAGCATTGAAATAGTAGTTTACTTCAGTGTTGAGGTTTGAGAAACCAAAGTCTAAGTCAACTTTGTTTTGCAAAAGTCACGAATGAATTTTATTTGTTCCACTACAGTAAGAGTGAATGGGTCTTGTGTTGGTGCAATGACTAAGTTATTTTTGCTTGGAGTAAGTTCGATAGAAATTTTTCCTGCCCAGTTTGGCAAGTATCTTAAAAACCTGAAGATGAGGAAAGATGACAAAGGAACTCTAAGTTTCAATTTTACTTTGGTTACTGCTGCTGCATTTTGTCCAGAAAGGTTAACATAAACTCCTGGAACGTTAGGGTCAAGTCTTCTTATTTTCTCAATAGTTGCATACTGGTCTGTTTGTTCTCTAGCTTGTGGTTGTACTGAGTTTCTCAAAGCGAACCATTCATAGTTTGCCCATGTTACTGTTTGAACTAAGTCAGAGTTAGAATATATCTTATATCCCATGAAAACTTCTGGAGCATATTGGTATCCGACATAGAAAATTCCATTGCAACCTTTCTTGTCAGACAACTTGGCAGAAGGTTTTATTTCAATGTCTTGTTCCACGTATAAGAAAGAGTTGTCAATAGAAATTATATGAAACCTGTCGCAAGCAATATCTACTGTTGTTGAAGAACCTTCTCCAAACTCACCTACGTTTCCATAAGAAACAGCAGTTGTATATTCGTAAGTTCCAGGAACTATTTCTGACCTTCTAATGGCATTGTCGCATTCGTTATACCATTCGGAAACATTTCCATTCATGGCATCCAAAACTGTTGGCGTTATATTCTGAGCGGCGTACATTTCATATGGGTAAAAATATAGAATAGTTGGATTTATATGTCATAATAGAACCCACTCCGACCAAGCTTTACTTTCTTCCTGACTGAGTTTTTAACTCTTCTTTTTCCTTCATTGCCACTACTTTCACTAGATGAAGTTACTTCTTCACTACTTTCACTTTGTTCTACTCTTCTTCTTTGGTGTCGCTTTGGTAACTTGCCCTCTGCTTGAAGTTGTTGCATCTTTGCATTATGTTCATCTAGTATGTTGCAAATTTCCCATGTCCTTTTTGCCTTTGGCTCTGGTCGCCCATCTCAGGTAACCTATATCCTAGAAAGAGTTTGTCATAGTCTGTATTTGAGTCTTCGCGTATTGTTTGCATGACTCTTTCCTGAGTTTCCGGTTCAAGCTCTTCAAACAGTGCCTGTCCATATGGAATATGCTCGTTTCCAAATATATGTTTTTGTAGCCATTCTGGTTTTCTTTCCATGTTACCAATTATATCTTTTGTGAATGGGAAAGCTTTTACCCAATCTTTCAGTCTTGCGTCGTTTATTTCTGTAGTTGGTTTTATTTTGTCAAGGAACATGTTTTTCAATACTAACATTTCATTTGGTACTGTCCATTTGAGTTTTCTTAAATATTCATCCCTTCTCGTTCATTGTCTGCAAAGTAAGTTTTTATGACATTTTGTAAACTTTCGTTTGCAAGGTCATGTACAATAGGTTCTCTTCCTTCTCTGTCCATAACTTTCTTTCTAAACTCTTCGCCAAATATACCATCTCTATGGTTCTGTGTAGTTCTTTGAGATAAATGTTCTAGAACGTCAGGTGTTATATTTCCATCAGCCATGTTCATTTCATACTGGTCCAAAATATCTGCATGTTTCATATCTTTCAATGGCATTAAAGCCGCGCTTAAAATACCAGCTATATCTCGTTCACCATTCAATTCCATTGCGTCTACAACTTCTTGGAATTGTGGTTGTAAGTTTATGAACCACCTATCCGGATTAGCTTTATGACCCATCTCATTGTAGTTCCATCGTCTGCAGAAACAAAAGTAGGTTTGTTTCCATCTTGGTAGGTTCTGAATGAACTTTAAACAATGTTTCATTTCTATATGTTTTCTTGAAATTTAACCTTTTATTTCACCGAGTTCATCCGAAGATTGAACGTTAAATGCTCGTAAGTAAAAAGGGTTGTTGTATTTGTGTACATTTTCTTTCAGTACTTCATTCTATGCTGAATATTTTCATCTGGTGTTGGAGTCTTTTGTATGTCGGCAAACATTTTTCGATATTCTTCTACTATGTCAGCCGAATTTTTTAGACTCTTGGAAATATTCCATATTCTCCTCATGCTCTTGTTGAGGGTCAAGATTTTTCGGCTGTTCCAAATCTTCATCTAGTTCTGTGAAGTTAGTTTCCAAAGGAGGACTTGTTCGTTTCCTTCAGGCTCTTCTAGCTGTTGTTGCTGAACTATTTCTTCCATGTCTGGTTGTATCTGAACTTCTTCCTGTGGAGTTTCTTGTACCTCATCTGCTGGCATTTCATATATTCCGAGACCGTTTTTAACAATTTCCTATCTAGTCATCCGGACTCATAAACCTTTTGTTCTTTCGTTCCGTCTCTATTTTTTACGCGTTTCATGAAGAAGTTGAAATTGTCATTTAGCTCTGACATCAAATATCTCGGAGTAAATTCGTTCATGTCATTTGGATGATATGCTATTAAATCATATCCCTTAGCGAGCTTGTATTTTCCAGGTTTGAGATTATATCCGTTTGGTGCTGAGCCATAAAGCTAAATAGGTTCGGGTCAGTATTTCCATCCTTGAACTTTCTAATAGCTTCTTTATATCTGTCACTAAAGTCAATACTATCTGGGTAACCATAGTCTTCTTTAAGCATTTTTAAGAATTCTTGGTTTCCTTGTTCTCTACTTCTTTTATGTCCTTGCTCTGTTTGTGGTTGTTGTTGTGCAGGGTTTTGAACTGTTGGTTGCTGTGCTGGTTGCTGTGCTGGTTGTTGTGTTGGTTGTTGTGCTGGTTGTGGAGGTGGTTGTTGTGCTGGTTGTTGTGTTGGTTTTGGTGCATGCCTGTGTCTGTGTCCATGTGACGATGTAAATGTTCTAGGTAGTCCTGGTGCAGGTGCTTCTCTTGGAGGGTTTGGTGGTATATAAGTTCCACCAGCTGGCACATATGTTCCATCTGCAGCGTAATGTCCTACCTGACTTTTCGTTCTTAAGAAGCATTTACTAGGTCTGTTTTGGTCTGTTGTAACTCTTTTTCTTGACTTTTCACAACAGTTGCTCTAACGGCGTCATAGGCACTTTGAACTGCCTGTCTCGTTGCTGCATCTGTTATTTTCGTCATATTTTGTGCTACTTCTTTTAACTCTTTGTCGAAACCTTCAGACTTCAGTTTCTTTCCAGATGAGAAGTCGTTCACTTGTTTCACCTTACTATGAAGAGCTTCGAAAGCGTTCTTAAAGTAGCATTTGTTAAAGCTTCATTTGAACCATTTCATCCGCTTTGTATTTTTGTCCTTATTGACCCTATGAGTTGGGCTGCTTTAGCGTTGGCTTGGGCATCTAACCAGTCATTGTTAGCTTTTATATATTCTGCGCTTTTCATTGCCTTTTGCATAGCCGCGTCGTTATTTTTACTTTCTTGTGCTAAGTTTTCATACTGTACGGTTTGGTTTTGCAACTGTAAAAGTTTTTCTGCCTTTACATTTGCTTCAACTTCTTTTTTATACTCATCGCTATCCATATATGTCTTCAGGGCTTTTTGTTTTATCTCTTCATCTTTCAGTATTTTATATTGAGTAGTATGGTTTTTCAAATTTATGACATCTTGTTCCATTTTTGCTACTTCTGCTGCTTTTTCTGACACTTTTTTCGCATATTCCTCTGTACTTAGTTCTTTCAGTTGTTCTTCTTTCTTCTTTTTCTCTACGTTTAACTCATTGAGTTTCTTTGTGTGTCTGTCATATTCTAGTTTCTTTTCGTTTTCACTTATTTGCTTCTGTATGTCTATGTTTGACTTTTTGACATCTGTTATTTTGATTTTTGAGTGAACTCAAATTCATTTGACTTTGAGGGTTATATCTGTTCCGTCTGCAGCTCCACATAGCCTGCCATTTTCGCTAAAAGTGCGCTCTTAAACCTCCACTGTGCACAAAACAACTCGGTTTAAAAGCATAGGATTGCTTGACATTTGTTGCAACATAGTGGGGTCATTCAGCATTTGTTGTTGCAACTGTTGTTGTGGTGTCAGTCTTACTATTGGATGTTTCAATGCTCTCTTCCTCTTACGTATATTCTTACGTAGCTTACGTGGCATTTTAAGTGAAGTTAAAAAGCGGTTTTATACTAAACATCTTCGGGGCTAGAGGGCACGAAGTGCCTGGAAGCCCCAATACCTTTTTTTTTTTTTTTTTTTTTTGAAGAGTTGATATTTAGAAATAATTGGTTATGAAATATGAAATGAAAAAAAAGGCATTGGGGCTTCCAGGGCTGCGCCCCTCTAGCCCCCTGAAGATGTTTAGTATAACATGCAGTTTATATAAAATGAGGTTTTTTTTGGGTGAAGCGGGCTTCCCAGGCACTTCGTGCCTTCTAGCCCTAAAAATTTTTGAAAGTCGTTGCTGTTGACTTTTCGGTAGAGGACTCAAAATAGTAGAACTATGTCCGGACAAGTAAGGGTCTATCGTCGCTACGTCACCAGGTCCTCGGTCCCTCGTCCCTCGGTTAAACCAACTTCTCTGAAAAAATGAGACAATGACATTTTGACAACAGTCCAGGAAGTCTTAACAAGATAGAATATGAGAGAGGTCCTATAAACCGGAGAAAGTGTCATATAAACATCTGTCAAAAAACCTTAACCGAGTAGTTTTCATGTTTTGTCACTTTGTCACTTTTCAGGGTAAAAACATTTTTTTAAATATAAATGAATTTACAAAACCACCGTTACCCTTCTTTGGAAATAAGAGTAGATGTAAAGATATTCTATTGAGAGAACTTAAGAAACTACCGAATGGTCTACGGCGAATGACGTTTATTTGTTCCCTCTACGTCTGTAATAGTGAATGGGTCTTGTGTTGGTGCAATGACTAAGTTATTTTTGCTTGGAGTAAGTTCGATAGAAATTTTTCCTGCCCAGTTTGGCAAGTATCTTAAAAACCTGAAGATGAGGAAAGATGACAAAGGAACTCTAAGTTTCAGTTTTACTTTGGTTACTGCTGCTGCTGCAGTTTGTCCAGAAAGGTTAACATAAACTCCTGGAACGTTAGGGTCAAGTCTTCTTATTTTCTCAATAGTTGCATACTGGTCTGTTTGTTCTCTAGCTGTGGTTGTACTGAGTTTCTCAAAGCGAACCATCATAGTTTGCCCATGTTACTGTTTGAACTAAGTCAGAGTTAGAATATATCTTATATCCCATGAAAACTTCTGGAGCATATTGGTATCCGACATAGAAAAATCCATTGCAACCTTTCTTGTCAGACAACTTGGCAGAAGGTTTTATTTCAATGTCTTGTTCCACGTATAAGAATGAGTTGTCAATAGAAATAATATGAAACCTGTCGCAAGCAATATCTACTGTTGTTGAAGAACCTTCTCCAAACTCACCTACATTTCCATAAGAAACAGCAGTTGTATATTCGTAAGTTCCAGGAACTATTTCTGACCTTCTAATGCATTGTCGCATTCGTTATACCATTCGGAAACATTTCCGTTCATGGCATCCAAAACTGTTGGCGTTATATTCTGAGCGGCGTACATTTCATATGGGTAAAAATATAGAATAGTGGATTTATGTGTCATAATAGAACCCACGGTGACCAAGCTTTACTTTCTTCCTGGCTGAGTTTTAACTCTTCTTTTTCCTTCATTGCCACTACTTTCACTAGATGAAGTTACTTTTCACTACTTTCACTTTGTTCTACTCTTCTTCTTTGGTGTCGCTTTTGGTAACTTGCCCTCTGCTTCAAGTTGTTGCATCTTTGCCTCATGTTCACCTAGTATGTTGTAAATTTCCATGTCCTTTTTTTCCTTTGGGCTCTGGTCGCCCATCTCAGGTAACCTATATCCTAGAAAGATTTTGTCATAGTTTGTATTTGAGTCTTCGCTTATTGTTTGCATGACTCTTTCCTGAGTTTCCGGTTCAAGCTCTTCAAATATAGCTTGTCCATATGGAATAAGCTCGTTTCCAAATATATGTTTTTGTAGCCATTCTGGTTTTCTTTCCATGTTACCAATAATATCTTTTGTGAATGGGAAAGCTTTTACCCAATGTTTCAGTCTTGCGTCATTTATTTCTGTAGTTGGTTTTATTTTGTCAAGGAACATGTTTTTCAATACTAACATTTCATTTGGTACTGTCCATTTGAGTTTTCTTAAATATTCATCCCTTCTCGGTTCATTGTCTGCAAATAAGTTTTTATGACATTTTGCAAACTTTCGTTTGCAAGGTCATGTACAATAGGTTCTCTTCCTTCGCTCTCCCTAACTTTCTTTCTAAACTCTTCACCAAATATACCATCTCTATGGTTCTGTGTAGTTCTTTGAGATAAATGTTCTAGAACGTCAGGTGTTATATTTCCATCAGCCATGTTCATTTCATACTGGTCCAAAATATCTGCATGTTTCATATCTTTCAATGGCATTAAAGCCGCGCTGAAAATACCAGCTATATCTGGTTCACCATTGACTTCCATTGCGTCTACAACTTCTTGGAATTGTGGTTGTAAGTTTATGAACCACCTATCCGGGTTAGCTTTATGACCCCATCTCATTGTAGTTCCATAGTCTGCAGAAACAAAAGTAGGTTTGTTTCCATATTGGTTAGGTTCTGAATGACTTTAAACAATGTTTCATTTCTATATGTTTTGTTGAAATTTAACCTTTTATTTTCACCGAGTTCAGCCAAAGATTGAACGTTATATGGTCGTAAGTAAAAAGGGTTGTTGTATTTGTGTACATTTTCTTTCAGTACTTCCATTCTATGCTGAATATTTTCATCTGGTGTTGGAGTCTTTTGTATGTCGGCAAACATTTTTCGATATTCTTCTACTATGTCAGCCGAATTTTTTTAGACTCTTGGAAAGATTCCATATTCACCTCATACTCTTGTTGAGGGTCAAGATTTTCGGCTGTTCCAAATCTTCATCTAGTTCTGTGAAGTTAGTTTCCAAAGGAGGACTTGTTCGTTTCCTTCAGGCTCTTCTAGCTGTTGTTGCTGAACTATATCTTCCATGTCTGGTTGTATCTGAACTTCTTCCTGTGGAGTTTCTTGTACCTCATCTGCTGGCATTTCATATATTCCGAGACCGTTTTCAACAAGTTCCCTATTTAAGTCATCCGCATTCATAAGCCTTTGTTCTTTCGTTCCGTCTCTATTTTTTACGCGTTTCATGTAAGATAGTTGAATCATCATTATCTCTGACACCAAATATCTCGGAGTAAATTCGTTCATGTCATTTGGATGATATGCTATTAAATCATATCCCTTAGCGAGCTTGTATTTTCCAGGTTTGAAATTATATCCCATTTGGTGCTGAACCATAAAGCTAAATAGGTTCGGGTCAGTATTTCCTTCCTTGAACTTTCTAATAGCTTCTTTATATCTGTCACTAAAGTCAAGAGTATCTGGGTAACCATAGTCTTCTTTAAGCATTTTTAAGAATTCTTGGTTTCCTTGTCTCTACTTCTTTTATGTCCTTGCTCTGTTGTGGTTGTTGTTGTGCAGGTTTTGAACTGTTGGTTGTGGTGCTGGTTGTGGAGGTGGTTGTTGTGCTGGATTTTGAACTGTTGGTTGTTGTGCTGGATTTTGAACTGTTGGTTGTTGTGCTGGATTTTGAACTGTTGGTTGTTGTGTTGGTTGTTGTGCTGGTTTTGGTGCATGCCTGTGTCTGTGTCCATGTGACGATGTAAATGTTTTAGGTAGTCCTGGTGCAGGTGCTTCTCTTGGAGGGTTTGGTGGTATATAAGTTCCACCAGCTGGCACATATGTTCCATCTGCAGCATAATGTCCTACCTGACTTTTCGTTTTTAAGAAAGCATTTACTAGGTCTGTTTTGGTCTGTTGTAACTCTTTTTCTTGACTTTCCACAACAGTTGCTCTAACGGCGTCATAGGCACTTTGAACTGCCTGTCTCGTTGCTGCATCTGTTATTTTCGTCATATTTTGTGCTACTTCTTTTAACTCTTTGTCGAAACCTTCAGACTTCAGTTTCTTTCCAGATGAGAAGTCGTTCACTAGTTTCACCTTACTATGAAGAGCTTCGAAGGCGTTCTTAAAGTCAGCATTTGTTAAAGCTTCATTTGAACTGTCTTCATCCGCTTGTATTTTTGTCCTTATTGACCCTATAAGCTGGGCTGCTTTAGCGTTGGCTTGGGCATCTAACCAGTCATTGTTAGCTTTTATATATTCTGCGCTTTTCATTGCCTTTTGCATAGCCGCGTCGTTATTTTTACTTTCTTGTGCTAAGTTTTCATACTGTACGGTTTGGTTTTGCAACTGTAAAAGTTTTTCTGCCTTTACATTTGCTTCAACTTCTTTTTTATACTCATCGCTATCTATATATGTCTTCAGGGCTTTTTGTTTTATTTCTTCATCTTTCAGTACTTTATATTGAGTAGTATGGTTTTTCAAATTTACAACATCTTGTTCCATTTTTGCTACTTCTGCTGCTTTTTCTGACACTTTTTTCGCATATTCCTCTGTACTTAGTTCTTTCAGTTGTTCTTCTTTCTTCTTTTTCTCTACGTTTAACTCATTGAGTTTCTTTGTGTGTCTGTCATATTCTAGTTTCTTTTCGTTTTCACCTATTTGTTTCTGTATGTCTATGTTTGACTTTTTGACATCTGCTATTTGATTTTTGAGTGAACTCAAATTCATTTGACTTTGAGGGTTATATGCTGTTCCGTCTGCAGCTCCACCATAGCCTGCCATTTTCGCTAAAAGTGCCGCTCTTAAACCTCCACTCTGTGCACCAATAACTCGGTTTAAAAGCATAGGATTGCTTGACATTTGTTGCAACATAGTGGGGTCATTCATTATTTGTTGTTGCAACTGTTGTTGTGGTGTCAGTTTTACTATTGGATGTTTCAATGCTCTCTTCCTCTTACGTATATTCTTACGTAGCTTACGTGGCATTTTAAGTGAAGTTAAAAAGCGGTTTTTGACAGATGTTTATATGACACTTTTTGTTCAGCACAAAAAACTACTCGGTCAAAGTGTTGTCAGTTTTGTAAAATAACCGTCCTATCTCATTCTATAAGGGGGAAAGTCTTCTCAAAGTATACTTCCTTGGAACGCCCGTAACTTTTCCTGTAGCGATGATAGACCCTTACTTGTCCGGACAAAGTTATACTAAACATCTTCAGGGCTAGAGGGCACGAAGTGCCTGGAAGCCCCACTACCTTTTTTTTTTATAGTTATATAAAAGTCAAATACATAATAAATTCTTAATTCTAGAGATATCTCAAAATCTCAATTTTTTAATTTAAAATACCTTTCATTTTTCACAGTACGATCACAACAAACAAGCCATTTACTAATTAACACATATAAGAAAAATATCAAATTACAAAACAACTTTCAATATCATTCGCATCAAATTCTATTTTTTCATAATTATCAACTACATGTTATTATATAATATATGTCGGCGCATATTCCACTCTATACAAGTGTCAGACACACTCGCACAAAGCTGTGAGATTCATACCTCTATCAGTAGGACTTCTCAAATCAAGAACACATATGTTTCACTATCGCACATCTGTGTAGGATCTAATTAACCCTTTGGACTGGTACTTCAAAATTTGATAATTTGATAATTTCATGTGATATCATCATTTGCCTTTAAAACAACTGTGCGTTAAACTAGACACGTTTCTCTATCATAATGCAAAATATCAAAGTTTGGGAGATTCCCAAAGTGTCTGAAACTGATCATAAGGGTGAAAAACCGTTTTCCAGAAGTTGGGAACGTAGGGTATGATGTCTAGTCTTATTTACTTAACAACATGCCTTAGAATAGGTTTTTTATTCTTTTTGTCACTTTAAATTAAGAATAAAAAGATAATTTAAATTGAATATTTGCGATTATTCTCACTAATGCTGCTTCCTCTTTTATTAGGTAGACAACAAAAAGTTAGCCTTGGACTCCCATATCAGATTTTTGATTGGTTGCGTATATAATGAGCTGGGATTGATAGACGAAAACCCAGTGAGAAAATTTTTGACGCCCTATGATCGATTGAAAAAATTGTGCTGTTGTCAGAAAATATTTGTGCATTATTTGAATCGACATATAGTATATAATATTGATTTTGATATAAAGATTTAAAACTGTTGACTTCATTGAATTTTATATTCTTATGATTTCTTGTTTCCTATTGAGCCTTATGTATTTTTTACAGCATTGTCTTTTGATCAAACCTGTAATTAAAGTGATACCTATCAGAAATAATGGGAATCTTCATTTTTCATGGAGCGAATTTTATCAGGATGAGCAAAATGAAAAAATAAGTCAAAATGAGTTTAACACTACTGTATATTCGTCAAGCACGTCATATTACCTAAAGAATCTGATTATTCAGAATTTACAATCAAACGCAATATGCCTGCAAAATCAAACTTCAATTAAATTTTTAGTTGAATCATGTTCACTTACAACAATTATTACCTTAGTACCTGCAAACTTCGGTGAAATTACAAAGATATGGGATGACACAAAAGCAGGGGCTTTTTGGTTTGAACTTCAAGGCAATAGTCAGTGCATAATAAATAAATGCTCTGCATATAATTGTTATAACAATATTGATAAATCTTATTACTATCTTGATGGCGGAAATTTTGCAACTTTTAGACATGCAAGAAATAAAATTTTATCAACAACAATTCAATTTTGTGGGCCTGAACATCATGGTGTTAATGCATTTAGATCACACGATACATCAGGAAATTACACAGGGTTGAATATTACTAACTGCAAATCCTATAATACGCCAATGTTTACGGTTTTTCCAAGCAAAGATGATTCAATTAAATATTCATTATTTAATGGAAACTCTGCGCCAAGGACTGGACATCGGGCAAGATGGGGAACATATACATACACGTCAGATGGACCAACCTATGGTGTTGCTGTTGTCTATGATGGAAATTTCACAATAGACAGCTGTTACTTTGTTAATAATACTGCAAACTACTTAATTTGTTCCACGCATGGTGTATATATTAGATTCTTAAACAGTGCATTTGTTGACAATGAAAATGACTATATAGCATATGCAAATAAAGGAAATAATGAATATGGATTGTTCTTCTCAAAAATCTCTATCCAAAATTGTTATTTAGAAGGAAGAAACGCAAAAGTTACTGGAACTGGTAGCGCATTAATCTCATCAGATAATGAGAATAACCCTTTAATTAATTCTGAACTCATCAACCAAATTCGTAATCAACTGCGCACTGTTCCAATAACAGAAGCTCAATCTATTTATCATTTAAGAATGAAAAGAGCTCATGCTAAATACTAAAGCTTATTTCGAAAATCTAACTGCATCAGAGCATAAACTACCCGTAAAATATTATTTTGAAATATATTAGGTATGCTTGAAAAATCATCGAACCAAAATGTTTTATATTGAGAATTAGCAAAAGTTATCGTTTTTACCCGAAATTTTCTGACATTTACAGAATTTTATTTTTCTCCAACAAAAATAATATGAATGAAATTTTCAGTATGTTATAAACGATACTTGCAGATTTAAAAACGGTTTTAAGTACCTAAAAATGCATGATTTCACCTTACTGTAATGCATTTATTAGTATTACATATAATATTTTCCCAATATTCAGAAAAAAAAATTGTGAGATTTTCAGAAATATTTTATGAATTGTTGATTGTTGTAAACAGAAATTCATCAAAAGTGACACCTCAGAAAAGCTAAAATATTGAATTTTTGGAACTTTTGATAGAGCACGTTTTTAAATATTAATTAAAGTAAATGTATATTTTGTAAAGATTCTTTTTAATAAAAAAATAAAATTTTGAAGAAGAACACAAAATCTTCTGAAAAATAATATCACATAAACTCATATTATTTTCTAATATATAACTATTTTATATAAAAATCAAATTCCATGATCTTAAGAATTCGACGAAAATTCATTCAGTTCAGCACTTTGTTGAGCTTGAACAAGAATTTAAGATTATGGAAAACCATTTTCTTAGTGAATACGAAGAAGAGAAGAATAAAGAAAAAGAATTAGTTCGAAGTTTAGAGTCATCATTTAAACAATTAAATGATCGATTCATCGAAACTGTTTTAGCACAAGATTCATATTCCAATGATGAACGGACGAACGCAATGGCCTATTTCGATAAGATGAACAACCAAGTCTCTAATATTTATAACGCATTGAATGAGAAGATCAACAATGCGTCAA